GCCACTTATCACACTAGACGTGTTGGGTGGGTCAGTCACTCGTGGTTGCTGGATCCTGGCATCCCACGAGGGTTCAACTGGCTGGGTCTGTGAGTCTCCCTCCTGGTCCTGTTGCACCGTCTTGGTTCCTGCCCAGGCCAGTCAGCATTGGCTCCCAGGCATGTGTTCCCCCAAAACTTGGAGCTGACGTGCCACTCCAGTTTTCCCAGGGGTCTATTCCCTGGCATGCCAGGGAAATGCAGGTCATCCAGCCCCTGCCAGGTGAGTTTTCCCAACCTCTTCTCCGGCATGCTGGGGAAGCATGGCTCACCCAGACCCCGACAGGCGCATTTTGCCCCCCAGCTCTCTCTGGTGCACAAGGGAAATGCAGCTTATCCAGAGCCCACCAAGTGACTTTCCTGCCAGTCCCACAGGGGGCTAGCAGGGGCTGCATTCCACCTCGTGTTACAAGTACCTTTTATCCATCTTCATTGAATTTTAATTTTGTTGTTTGGAGCTCAGTTGTCCAACTCAAGATCCTTTTGAATTTTTTAATCCCAACAATCAACGTGCTTACATTTCTCCCTCACTCTGCCATCTACAAATGTGATCAGTATACCCTCTAGATTATTGGCAAGCATCTTAAACAGCAGGGGACCCAGAACAAGCCCTAGGGAAGCCCACTTGAGAAACTGATCCATTCATTCCTTACTTTTCAACCAATTATGTATCCACCTAATGGTAATTCTATTTAGCTCACATTTCTCTAGCTTATTTATAACAATGTTACATTGGACACAATGTTTTTATACAAACAGTATAAATATGTATTGTATGCGTGTGCACCTTTAACAGGTGTAATCAACATTTTATGTATTTTAGTGGTCATGCAAAATCATGGTTCAGATTCCTATCATTAAATGATTAAGTTCTTAAAAAGGAGTGGGTATGGATTTCTGCCAGATGTTTTTAACTTTAGTAAAACTGGTAGTGTGGAACATATGTTTGAACACAGAAGACATATATAAGGTGAAAGGTCACACTGTCTCATGTAGTCATGACCACTGCCACACATCCACAAACTAATTTGGGGGTCCTTAAGTCATGCTGTTCGCTAGCATGGAAGTTACTTTGTAAGATAATTGCTAAGATTGGAACCTAATTACTTAGGATCATAGAAAATAGGGACCTCAGAAAGTCATCCAGTCCAACCCCCTTCTCAAAGCAGGACCATCCCCAAACTAAATCATTCCAGCCAGAGTTTTGTCAAGCCAGTCCTTAAAAACCTCCAAGGATGGAGATTCCAACACCTCTCTAGATAACCCATTCCAATGCTTCACCACCCTCCTGGTGAGAAAGTTTTTCCTAACAGCCAACTTAAACCTCCCTTGCTGCTACTTGAGTCCATTGCTCCTTGTTTTGTCATCTGTCACCACTGAGAACAGTCTAGCTCCATTCATTTTGGAACTATCCTTCAAGTAGTTAAAAGCTACTATCAAATCCCTGCTCCATCTCCTTTTCTGTAGACTAAACAAACCCACCTCCCTTGGCCTCTCCTCGTAAGTCATGTGCCCCAGCCTACGAACCACTTTCACTGCTCTCTGCTGGACTCTCCCCAACATCTTTATTAACAATGTAGACATTGATGTCAGAAGTGGACTGGCTAAGTTTGCTGATGACACCAAACTTTGGGGTAAAGCGTCCACACCCAAGGATAGGCTGGTGATCCAGGCTGACCTTGACAAGCTTAGAAAGTAGCCAGATAAAAACCTGATGACATTCAATACCAATAAATGCAAGGTACTCCACCTCGGCGGGTGGGGGGAAACCCGCATCAAGCTTATAGGCTCGGCAGTGCTACACTCGCTAGCACCATGGCTGAGAGGGACTTAGGGGTCACGACTGACCACAAGATGAATATGAGCCACTGATGAGATGTTGCAGGTGGTAAAGCAAGCAAAACTCTGGCTTACAACCACAGATTCTTCTCAAGCAAATCTCAGGATGTCATCCTCCCACTGTACTCAGCTGGAGTACTGCATCCAATTCTGGGCTCCACAATTTAAAAAGGATGTGGAAAAGCTTGAGAGAGTCCAGAAGAGAGTCATGCGCATGATCAGAGGGCAAGAGAACAGGCCTTATGAGAGGCTGAGAGCCATGGGACTCTTTAGCCTGGAAAAGAGCAGGGTCACGGGTGACCTGGTGGCTGCCTATAAGTATATAGAGGGTGTACATCAGGATCTGGGGGAACGCCTTTTCACCAGAGCACCCCAAGGGATGACAAAAATCAAACGGTCACCCATTTGTCTTCCAAGACCATTTTAGGCTGGACATAAGGAAAACTTGTTTACCGTCTGAGCCCCCAATGCCTGGAATAGGCTCCCTCCAGAGGTGGTGCAAGCACCTACTCTGGACTCTTTTAAGAAACATTTGGACACGTATCTTGCTGGGATCCTTTGACCCTAGCTGACTTCCTGCTCCTTGGGCAGGGGGCTTGATTTGATGATCTTCCAAGGTCCCTTCTAGACTTAATGTCTGTGAAATCTACGACATCTATGAGATGTGGCCTCACCAGTGCAGAACAGAGCAGAATAATTCCTTCCCTTGATCTACTGGCAGTGCTCCTACTAATGCAGCCCAGTATGCTGTTGGTCTTCTTGGCAACAAGGACACACTGCTGACTAATATCCATCTCATTGTCCACTGAACCCCCTTTTCTGGAGAGCTGCTGTTTAGCCAGTCAGTCCCCAGGCTGTAGCAGTGCATGGGATTCTTCTAAGTGCAGGACTTTGGACTTGTCCTTGTTAAACCTCATGAGATTTATTTTGGCCCAGTCCTTCCAGTTTGTCTAGGTCACCCTGAAACCTAGCCCTACCCTCCAACATCTACTACATCCCCCCCCAGCTTGGTGACATCTATGAACTTGCTGAGGGTACAATCCATCTCATTTTCCAGATTGGTAATGAAGATATCCAAGGAGGTGATCCTCCCCCTCTATGCGGCACTGGTCAGGCCGCAGCTGGAGTACTGCGTCCAGTTCTGGGTGCTGCACTTTAAGAAGGATGTGGACAGCATTGAGAGGGTCCAGAGGAGGGCCACTGGTATGATCAAGGGACAGCAGGGTAGGTCCTATGAGGAAAGGTTGCGGGACCTGAACCTGTTCAGCCTTCAAAAGAGAAGGCTGAGGGGGGATC